CCACCTTCCAAGCTGCGCGAAACGGTCCCACACTCTCGGTGAACAGAGTATAGATACGCACGTCTGACGCTGCGAGGAAATCCTACCTTAACGGCGGCCGGTGAATCACCGCGCGGCGTCTTTGCAAGCGCGGCGGGTGGCGAACTTCCGTATGGAGGGATCGGTAGCCGTATTCGGGGACCGAGGGCGTATCGTAACTATTCGTCACAACCTTATATTGTACAAAATCTATAATTTTATCAGTCTAAGTGTCTTTAATGCCATTAAATTTTTTCCTGGTTTTCTGTGGGTGCCGCGAAACAGAATCTTAAAGCTAATTTGGTCTTCATACATCTGCTAGTGTCTTTGTTCATTTTGTATTAATTATAATATCATCTTATGTGCACGTTATATTGTAATACACTGGGGTAACACTTAACTTCTACTTTCTAGTAATTTCCTCTCTCTATGATCATTATGAGCACATTGAACGAGCTTTTCCCCGCAACTGAAGATAAGTAAGGTTGACCGCGCTAAGATTTTGACTTCAAAACGGAAACGGGTGGAGAGGGAAAGTCAAAAATTATGGGTAAACATTGGCGTCACTACCCTTGTGATTGGTTGGTCATGTGTGATTTGCCAATAGCCTTGTTTGTTGGAAGAAGGATATTCTTCATATATGTTTAGACTAAGTTTTCGTTTGGCCCTTGAGGTAAACAGTAAAAGCGTATAATAACGCGATCACTAGAATTAACCGAAGAAACGTAAATACATGCACCGTAACCATGCTTACTCACATAAAACCCATGGATTTCGATCTGACTCTGATTGTTGCTTATCAACCGGCGATCTATGTTCTCATTTCCGTCGTAAAGAGCGGAAGCTAAGAGTTAAAGCTAATGCGCGAGAATCGCCGAGATCAAAGTGATTAGCTCGAAAAGGCAAACGAAGACGTACATATATGCCATTTACATTGCGTGTCGAAGTTTTTGCATAATGATTTTCGCACGACAGTTCCTCCGCGGAGTTGATGACGTCGTGTAGACGTCACTTAAAATTTAGTCAACTGATCGGACAAGCTAGCAAGCACTCGGTAACTTTTTCTCTACAATAAACATCGAAAACTGTGAATTCGATTATTGTGCGGAAGCTGGTTATAATTATTTAAATATTTATTCAGTACATATGCTTTTCAATTAATTTACAATAAGATACTTAATTTTAATTGTAATGTAAGTAGAAACGTAGGAGACAGTCAGGGCGTTTATGGTTGAGAAGCAAAGTGTAACAATGCTAACAACATGTAACGCCCGGTAGGTATCGTTTAAACATTGCACAGAAGCACGCCTTGGTGCATTATACGTTCTTTCAATTTCACATTCCACTTGTATTTTTTGCAGGTACCTCAGCTTCCGTTGGGTCACACAATAGACGTGCGCCTATGCTCAGTTTCGTGCGTTGTTCGAAGTTATTGGACAATGGATGAAAGAGGTCGAGCCATTCACACTTCATCCGACAAAGAGACGTGCAGTGCTGCTAGCTGTGGGACAGAAACTGGTAGGCTGGACTTCCTGGCGATATAGGGACGATTAAATGTAAGTGTTCGTCATTCAATGATGTTCGCCATTCCCTGTCTATTGTACGCAGAGCTGCCTGTTTACTCGATTTTCTTATTAAAAGTTGAATGCCCACGACTGAATCAATTGGGGATGGTTCATGCAAAAGCCCGGAAATGCAGAAAATGCAGCTTTCTGTTTTAAATTCTGATTGAAGTATACCAAGCATACTTGGCTGATATGAAGTGTCGTTTAATTATGGAAAATGTAATTAAAATTCCTTGGCCAGAAGTTTGGAATTAGCCCTGAAGGACTAATAGATTGCTGTGATGTGCCGAAGAAGCATGCTATGAGTTGGAAGTCTGAGATTTGTGGAGTATCGATAAATTCTCCTGCTCCAACTTTTCTTGCTTGCACCACAGGCATGGCTAAAGTACAGGTAATGGTTTTATTAATATTTACATGATATCCAAGCATGATTAAAAAGTAAATTTAATTATCTAAACAGGTTTTTTTCATGTTTTTCCAGAAATATGCCAATCAGACATACCACAAGGTGCACTTTGGCTGGTCATGACTATTTCAGTCAACTCCCTTTAACCAAATTTAGGATATTGCGAATGCTGGGAAAACAATAGAACACTAGACTGAGTTGAAAAACCATATATTGTGCCTCGGACTATAAGAGAAGTTGTAGAAACAATGCTTTTCGTACTTTCGCATGATACAAACACTCTTCGCTTTAGACTGTAACTTGAAGGAATGGATCTAACGTGGTCTTCTTCATTCCTATTAAGTACTTTTATTTTAATTATATTAAGTTTTTTGCTTTTAGCTTTCATTTCCATTTTCAATATAATTCATATAGCTTGTGTGTACTTGTATACACTGTTGTTTCGATCTCATCATCTTCTAAAAGTGGTAAATGTCATTGTAACAATCATTTATGTCAATAAACAGATATAGAAATTAATAAAAATTATACTTACTTATCAAGAAATCATGGTTGTGTCACTTGATTTTACCGTTTTTGACTGTCATCGTACAATCAAATTGTGGTTATTCCTCAAAGGTCTTTGTAAATATTGTTGCGTCTGGGAGTGGTGCATGTGGCTGTAATCGATTATGTGAATTGTTTAAAAACATCTGGGGAGCAAAATGTTTTGTGCTCTTAAAAAACTCTCTAGTTCTTATGAAGCTTCTCCAGTAAAATATGCTGCTTTATGCCGCATGCTTCTGCTCACGGTTTTGATCCAAAATGTAATGTAATTTACTTACATTCCTATTAAGTACTTTTATTTTAATTATATTAAGTTTTTTGCTTTTAGCTTTCATTTCCATTTTCAATATAATTCATATAGCTTGTGTGTACTTGTATACACTGTTGTTTCGATCTCATCATCTTCTAAAAGTGGTAAATGTCATTGTAACAATCATTTATGTCAATAAACAGATATAGAAATTAATAAAAATTATACTTACTTATCAAGAAATCATGGTTGTGTCACTTGATTTTACCGTTTTTGACTGTCATCGTACAATCAAATTGTGGTTATTCCTCAAAGGTCTTTGTAAATATTGTTGCGTCTGGGAGTGGTGCATGTGGCTGTAATCGATTACGTGAATTGTTTAAAAACATCTGGGGAGCAAAATGTTTTGTGCTCTTAAAAAACTCTCTAGTTCTTATGAAGCTTCTCCAGTAAAATATGCTGTTTTATGCCGCATGCTTCTGCTCACGGTTTTGATCCAAAATGTAATGTAATTTACTTTAGTTTAAAAATTAATTAAATCATTATAATAGGTCGTTTCTTGGCAATTTTTTGAAAGCAGATAATTTAAAAATTCTCAAAGTAAAATATATTCCATCCTTTCATTGGCGTTAAGTTAAAGATCCATACCTTTTCGAATGTAATGGGAACCTGAAGCTTAATTCATGGCTTATGCCCGTATGTTAATTACATTCCTTCTTAGCACACTTGTAACCATTAATTTTTGCTGGCTTCTTAATCATGCACATTGATTTTACCTAAGAAGCCAAGTAGCTGTAAGAGAATGATGTACTCACCTGTGTGCTTCGAGGCAGAATATATATAAAAATGTAGCCAGTCGTACAACCTGATTACTCTGTAAATTCACAAGAGCATGTCGAAATTCGCTATATGGGATTTTCAAATTAAGAGGGCATACACCTTTTCGATATGTCACAAACGTTCAACAGCGATGCACTTTTACGCGTCCACTTCTCATCGATAAATACATGCGAACCACAATATATATTATTCCTTGATTTTTTCGTCTACAGTTTCTTATAAACGTAACATACTGCAAATTAAAACGAAGTCCACGGGAAATCACATTCATCGTAATTGATCATATATTGCTTTGCTAAGACATGTGTCGCGCCGGATGAGGACATTTAATTTCATCGATGGTATCGTCTCCAACAATGCCATCAGGCGTCGCGTCAAAATATGGGTATTCGCTGTTAATCAATAAACTGCAATCATTTACATCTACCCCCAAAATCTCCTGCAATTTTTTTCTTACCAAAATCTCTTTTTCTTTACTCTACTCAACTGGGGCTTTTGTTAGTTCAGTGAGATAGAGAATGTTTTGTACAAGATTTTGACCCGAGGTCGTTTCCCTTTTGCAACAAATTTTTCCGAAATTCGAAGCAGTAAGTAATGTCCGATGTACGTGATGCCACTGCGGGTTTTCATGCTGACCCCGCATAATATATTTCAGTACGTCTCGGTTTCTCTGCTGATGTCCCCTGATTTCAGCTGTTCATACATATTGTCATCGATATCCGGCCATTCAGCTTTCGGTCCGTGATCTTTATTTAAACTTACGAACAGAGACATCTAATGGTTTTGTCGCTGTCATGCGTTTCTTGTGTTTCTCACGACGAATAATACTTTTTTCTTCAAATATTGTTGTTCGTGCTAGTAGCTTCTTACCTATCGCGTAAGAAGCTCGACTCGTGGCTTTCAGAGTATTATGCTGAACAATTGCTGCTTTTACGCGTGGTCCGTAAAAACCTTTTTTCCAAAATGTACACCTTTACTGCCAATGTATTTACAAATAATTGAATTACTATTTACTTTCTACAGAATTGTTGGTAAACTCGTACAATAAACTTTCGGCATTATTTGTGACGCGTTTCATTGCCTCTTCTATATTTGAATAAAATCCTGCCATTCGTAATTGGAGAACAAGATTTGCCTCGCCTTCTTTTGACGTTCCATCACAGAAATACTTTAACGAGACACAATCTTGATGCTCACCAAATATGTAGCTAGGTACATTTTGCAAATCTTTAATCAAACCAGCAATTTTGTACTGCAATGGGACATTTTCATTGTGGCGAAACGTTGCAGTTTTTTTCGTATTTTCAAAACGCTGTTGGTCACTACCTTTTTTAATTTTGAGAGATTTCGACCATTAGTACGACCCTCTTCTCGTTTTCTATTGCGTAGATTACGCAGAAAATGATTAGTACATACAATTTTTTTAATTACTACGTTCGGGTACGACCTTTACTGCCAATGTATTTACAAATAATTGAATTACTATTTACTTTCTACAGAATTGTTGGTAAACTCGTACAATAAACTTTCGGCATTATTTGTGACGCGTTTCATTGCCTCTTCTATATTTGAATAAAATCCTGCCATTCGTAATTAGAGAACAAGATTTGCCTCGCCTTCTTTTGACGTTCCATCACAGAAATACTTTAACGAGACACAATCTTGATGCTCACCAAATATGTAGCTAGGTACATTTTGCAAATCTTTAATCAAACCAGCAATTTTGTACTGCAATGGGACATTTTCATTGTGGCGAAACGTTGCAGTTTTTTTCGTATTTTCAAAACGCTGTTGGTCACTACCTTTTTTAATTTTTAGAGATTTCGACCATTAGTACGACCCTCTTCTCGTTTTCTATTGCGTAGATTACGCAGAAAATGATTAGTACATACAATTTTTTTAATTACTACGTTCGGGTACGATGAGAAATCTCTCAATTTTTTTTTGATATTACTGTCACCATCCGCGATATATCTACTAAATATCAATCCATGCATGTCCTTGCTACATCGGAAGCTTTCAAGAATTATATCGCTTTCCATGCTGGAGGAGTCCTGTTGGGTGGTCCAGTTCTTATAACAAACGTGCTTCTTCGCGATATGTAACTTTATCTCCCATGCCCAAACAACACAATACTTATTTCTAACTCTACCAAACAATATCTTACGAGTATAATATCCAATGATAAGGGCAGTTCCGGACGAAGAATCGTAACTACTACTGTAACTTGAAGTAATGGATCTAATGTAGTCTCTTTCATCCCTAGGCTGCGTTATAACATGAATCTTTCAATGAAGTACTTTTATTTTTATTATATTAAGTTTTTTGACTTTTACCTTTCATTTCCATTTTTAATGTACTTCATATCGCTTCTATGTGCTTGTGTACACTGTTGTTTTGATTCCATCATCTTCTAAAAGTGGTAAATGTCATTGTAACAATTATTTATGTCAATAAACAGATGTATAAATTAATAAAAAATTTTACTTACTTATCAAGAAATCGTGGTTGTGTCACTTGATTTTACCGATTTTTCCTGTCATCGTAAAATCAAATCGTAGTTATTCCTCAAAGATATTTGTAAATATTGTTGTGTCAGGGAGTGGTATATCGCGGACAACTCGTTTAATACAGTAATATTATAAAACGGAACAATAACACAAAACTTTATTCGAGATCACAACACAGAGTGTCCGATAACATGTCCGAAACGTTTGAGGTCTCGCGCTGTTCTTTCGTTAGAATAGTTGCCGGTTCCTTAATAGCAACCGGAAGCCGGGCCCTCGCTTCCGCTCGTTTGCAAGGATAGCTTCACATCGTTGCGAGACATCTTCACGTTGTCCCAACGCGCGGCATGTTCCATCCGTCGCAACGATATGATGACTATATAAAAAAATATAAAAGCTAAATAAAATTAATGATGTGCACTTACGCGGATCTAGGTTGATTTCTAACAGTTCTTGTTCTACCTGAATCTAAAAATTTAATTACTGAAGTTAATTACAATATAATTAATTATATTGTAGTATTTGTAATGCTTTAAATGCTTAAATATTTTGTACTTACTACGTTCATGTCATCCATCTCGATTGATGTCTGGGCTATTAATGATTTATTTCCATGGATACAGATTTTCATTTATTTATTTTACCGTCTCTAGAGGCGTACATATTTTCAATTTTGGAATGATAGCAAGTTCAAGATACCGACGGGGTCTCGGGCCGATACCGGTATGCCGTTTTGCAGGAGGGGCAATCGGACAGCACCAAATGAACATCGGTTGCAACGTTATATACTTTGCAGAACGGATAATGATGGTCACGACGCGACGCGACGCGACTATTACCACAGAAATGGCAAAGGACTCCGACTTTAAATGGTCCCGATAAAAGTGCCCTGCTCGGCCAACGAACTGGCGTTCAAGCGATGACCGAAGGAACGTCTTCAGATATCGCTCTGATACGGGGGTCTAAAATGCGAGTTTCTGTCAATTAATAAATCGAATTCCGATTTATTAGACTAAAGACCTGGGAATCCTCAATTTTTCAGCAGTCAGCTGATTCAAATCACGAAAGCGGACGAAATCTTAATTGTATTAGAGCATCTTAGAAAGTCCAGTTGAAATCGGACAATTAAGAACGGAACTTTGAATGTATTCTATAAAATCGATTTTATCTATTGATTATTGATATATGTTCTTTACATTTTGTATGAGATGAGGTATCTTAATAC